ACATACAACTTAGACCGTAAAAATCAATTTAATTTCAAACAAATCATTGAGATATTACAACCTATAGTCATCGATTATCTTTCGCCACATTTGTATATAGTTTATATTTTATAGAAAACGTTTTCGAAAAATGTGAGTGGTGCGCGGCATTCTTAGATAGTTGCGCAAGCGACAAGAGAAATTATCAATTTCAAAACAAACTAATCAAAAAATATTATAAAATATAAACTATATACAAATGTGGCGAAAGATGATTTGTTTGAAATAAAATTGATTTTTTCACGGTCTAAGTCATATGTTGCAATTTTCTGAATTTGTATGGGCGCTAAGTTATTCGTTATGAGTTAGTTATTATCTAAATTTAGTGTTTTCAGCAGATAACGTTTTCTAAATAATTATTTTTTCAGAGGATTGTCAAGAGATCACCTTTTGGATATTTTGGACCTGGAATAGGAAAGAATATTTTCAAACTAAAAAAAATCATTTAATAATCTTAAAAATAATTATACTGGCTGCTTTTACGATTAAAATCTGTGTTCTGAAACGGTTGGGTCCAACGAGCTCTTATCTGTATCCTGTATTTAGGATCCTAATATAATCTGTATCCTGTATTTATGGTCCAACAAGCTCTTATCTGTATACTGTATTTAGGATCCTAATATAATCTGTATCCTGTATCTAGGGTCCAACAAGCTCCTATCTGTATACTGTATCTAGGATTCTAATATAATCTGTATCCTGTATCTAGGATCCTACTATAATCTGTATCCTGTTTCTAGAATCCTACTATGATATGTATCCCGTATCTAGGGTCCTACTATAATCTGAATCCTGTATCTAGGATCCTACTATAATCAGTATTCTGTATCTTGGGTCCAACTAAAATCTGTATCCTGTATCTAGGATCCTACTATAATCTGTATCCTGTATCTAGGATCCTAATAAAATCTCTATCCTGTATCTAGGATCCTACTATGATCTGTATCCTGTATCTAGGGTCCTACTATAATCTGTATCCTGTATCTAGGATCCTACTATAATCTGTATCCTGTATCTAGGGTCCTACTATAATCTGTATCCTGTATCTAGGGTCTTACTTGTAATCTGTATCCTGTATCTAGGGTCCAACTATAATCTGTATCCTGTATCTTGGATTGTACTCTAATCTGTATCCTGTATCTAGGGTCCTACTATAAACTGTATCCTGTATCTAGGGTCCTATTATAATCATTATCTTGTGTCTAGGATACTATATTCTTTATCGTATCTAAGGTCCTACATTAATCTCTATCTTGTATCTAGGGTCCTACTATAATGTGTATCTAGGATTCTATTATAATCTATATCCTGTATCTAGGGTCCTACTATAATCTGTATCTAGGGTTCTAATATAATCTTTATCCTGTAACTAGGGTCCTAAATTAATCTCTATCTTGTATCTAGGATCCTACTATGTGGAAGTAAACAGTCCTTGGTATGGATATGGTTATGATGTTCATCACTTAGGTGGGATTTTTGAAAATTTGAAACCTTGAGAATTTTTAATCAAGTCATAAGGAAAACTAGAGAAAATAGGGTCTTACGCCCGAAAGATATCCAATGATCCAGACCAAAATTATTCTAGTACATTCTGAACATGATCTGGCTGGGGCGACACCAATCTATTTCCGGTTTACCGGTTGCTCGTTAAAAACAATATCTACGCTTCACAAACAAGTCTGAAATCATTATAACCAGGGCTAGGGAAAACATGATCTCTCCATAAACATTGGTTTTCATGATTAGTTTTATTTAATGGGGTTATTATTGTTTATCTTCAATTTCGTATATTATTTTTGTTTTGTTTTAGAAGATTCTTGTGATGAGAAAAAGCTATTCAAATGTCCAAATTCTTGGCGTGAAAAAAAGACGGGGAAGAATATGATTTTAATAAAGTTAAATCCAAAATATTTCGTAGGTAAAAGATCGGCGCTAACTGTTCAAGATTTCATAAACCAAGATATTAAACATGAATTCGGACCTCATCATCATTTCAATTTTAATTTTGGACATAAAGATCATATTCATCATGAATTTGATCAAGAAATTGATATCGATCATGAGTTTGAATTCGACGACAACCTTCATCACGAAAATGACCATGAGGAAACAGTCCATCACGAAGACGACATTCATGATGAACTAGTGCATGAAGAAGATTCGCACAGTGAATTTGCTCATCTTCATCATTATCTAGATTATTTCAATTTTAAACCATGTAAGTATTTCTAAGGTATTAAGACTTTAGAAAAGATTGATTATATAAATATACTTTTCTTTGTCTGTCAGCTTGTTCGTATCCAATAAACGTCACGGCTTAACCTATCGGACCAAAATTTTGTGTGGGACCAGGGAAGGTTTATAGAACCTCAGAATTGCAAAAAGTTGTAAATTCACAAAAAAATGTTTTATTGTTTTATCGAAAGAGAAAAGGCTGGAAGATCGAGCAACAGTTAAAAATAATAAATAAAAGATTAATTTTCTATTCATTGTTTAGTTGATCACGGACACCATGGACACCAGAACCGAGGAAAACGAGATCTTCATCACAGTGTCGCAGCTGCATTATACGGACACGGTCTTCATGGATTTTACGGATTTGGGCCTGGTATTGGACTTCATCATTACGGAGGGACTAGCTTCGAGGCACGAAGTCCGCAGGGATTGAGTCATTTTATTTATAAACGCGAGGCCAGGGTATTAAGAGGTAATTAATGAACACTTCTGAATTTTTTTTAAATGCTCAATTTAAAATTTATTAAAAAGATTTATCAGTGGCAAAAATATCTTTGTTTAGTTTATAACCTAAAAGTTGTTAGTGGGTTTCAACAGCAAGATAGAAAAGGACCGATTAATTATTTAACGTCAATTTTTCTACAATGAAATTTGATGAATTGTTTCTGGTACATTTTAACCCTATAAAGGCTGGGGGATCTGAATCTATGTATAGACTGGGGGGGCGTTTGGCGCCCCCCCCCCCACCAGAAAAAGGCCTTAGAGAATAGGTATAGGGTTGAAATGCATGTTCATAGCCCAATATTTCGGCCAGCTCAAAGAAAAAATTACACCGATAACTTTAATAGTTTAGGTGCTAGGGAGGGTGGAAAAAAATGCCTAAAAAAGGGTAAAAAATGAAATTTTTTTGTTTTAAGCAAATTACAAAATATGACACATGTTTCTACATTTTAAAGGGCTTTTCAGAAATATAGTTTTTAGATCTGAAGCTTTAATCACAAAAAAGTTATGGGCTATTTTATATTTTTTTCAAAGACCGTACTTTTTTCAGCCCTGGACCCTACCCTGCTAGGACAAAACACTACAGCCTGTTTAGGATTAATGCAGGGTCATCTTAATTGCTATCAATTTTTCAGGACATTTCGGACATTTGCACGGAGGCCATTATCACGGAGGACACGGATTTGGCCGAGTATTCAACAGAGGATATTATTCTCCATATATATTTGGATAAATGTAATTCATGAACGATATTTATTTATCTAAAATAAACGTAAAATTTAAATAACAAGAATCATAATATTAAAGAGAGCATTTATAAATATCTTCAGTGCTAGGCCAGGTTAATAATATTATTTGAGTATTTTAGAAATGAGTAATTTTCATCTTAAAACATATATAAAGGTGGATAATAAATGTTCTACTAAAATCATTGGAAGGTACTAATATCAATTCTGCAAAGGTTTTTTTTTATAACTCTGTACAGTTATCATTTATCAATCAGCCTTTTCTTTTAGTTATTCGTCATTCGTCTTCGTTCTCCCTGCCAATTCGTCCAGTGTGGTGATATCAACGGTAGAAAGACTACACTTGAGAGCATGGGTCCTAATACAAAATGTTTTAAGAGATTCTTCGGATATTTTAGCTAAAAGATATTAATCTTCTTTGTCAAACTGTAATATCAAGTTTTTTTTGAGAAAAAAATTCATAAAAATAAAATTTTATTCTTTGTTTCTTACGCTTAATTTAGATGAGAAAAAAGTGAAATTTGACAAGTATAGAAGTCCATGAAAGTAAAATTTAATGATTAGCCTATTTTGTCTGAAACATATTTTGTTCCTGTAGTGATCTGCACGCCCGTAACCTCGCCCACAGTCACATCGAAACCTTGATCAATAACATTATAGATTCAAGTTTAGTCCACTCACCGAGATAAATTATTATAATTTCTAAATTTTAAACAAATTTTAAATATTTTACTTGTTTCAATTGATAAGTTAAATTTGCGTTTTAAGGAAAAGAGATTTAAAAAAAAATTTATAGAAAACTACATATTATTGTTTTTATTTGAAAACAGTAGTAATTGTAAAGCATTCATGGCACTTTCTATTCATGACCATTTGGATTTGAAATAATAATCTGTTTAATAGAAAATCGTTAACCTTGTTTCACCAGTATGGATCCAAGCATGCCTCTTTAACTCATCCCGGCGGACAAAACTTTTATGGCAACCCTGAAAGAATGTCTTTAATACTAGATCCATAGTTGATCTCTATAAAACTATCTTATAAACTATTTTTATAAAACTATCTTATAAACTATTATTATAAAACTATCTTATAAACTATTTTTATAAAACTATCTTATAAACTATTTTTATAAAACTATCTTATAAACTATNTTGTAAAACTATCTAATAAAAATATATTTATGAAAAGTATCATTATGAAAGGATTCATCTAGAATAATATCTAAACACCTTCCAGGAGCAAGTATAGGGTCTCTCGTTGTTGTTAGCTCGGATATGCGCCTGAATAGAACAAATATTAAAAGGACTGTTTTCCATTATGGAACTGAGCGTCAGGCATTTTGAAAATATTAAAATATTATTAAAATTTAATATGAAAGCATCAAAGAGTGGGTTCCCATTTTGATTTTTTTTAAAGTTATAATTCAAATGCATTAATAGTAAGCTTTTTATTGAATAATGTTATACTAAAATAGCTAATAAACAAGGATCAACTTGTTAAAGGGACTGTAAAGGAAAAATGAAAGGGGGTATAGGTTGAAACCTAAGCATTTTAGGAGTTGATCGAGACTCATAGGAGTTCTATCTGATGTTCATGCGTCTCCGTCTGCATCACGTGATACTGCACTGCCATTGGTGGGAGTTTTTCAGGCACCTGTGGGATATCGTTGTTTTCAGTTGAGTTGCGTATTTGCTGAATATGATCTGTTGAAAAAAATTACACAAAAATTGATACATTTAAATTTTCGCATAAATTTGACACAGTTAAACATATCAATTTCCCGAGACAGGAACATCAGATAAAGCTCATATGGGTCTCGAGGCTCAGGTTTCAGTCCATAAACCCTATCATTTTTCCTTTACAATCCCTTTAACAAGTTGCACCTTATTTATTAATTTTTGGGCAGGCTGAGAGTTACCTTGAGATGTGCAATCTTTGTAAATGTTTTTGTACACTCGTGTTTCAGTATACAGGTATGAACCCTGGAAAAAAAACATGAAACGAAAATATTGGTAAAAATGAAATAGATAAAATATGCGTTTACATTTTAGTGATTAATGTATTAAAGATAGTTTTTTTATAGCATGGAACTTTAAGCTCAAGGTGTAATAGTAAGGTAAGATACTTTAACACAAGGTTATAATTCAAGGAAAGTTATTTCAGCTGTGTATACATCTTTTGTACTGCAGTGTGCTGTCTCTGGGCGGTAATGTAAACACAGGAAGGATGTCACAGCCTGACATGGGATCAGTCTTTCACATAAAAAATCAATGACATATTCTGGTCATAGGAAATTATTATTTGAATTATCAAAACTTTCAAAATTCAATGCTTTTTATCCTCCTCGGATACTAAACGAACACTGATGCATCTATTCTTGTTTGCAAATTCCTCCAAGGGAGAACTGGTTTCAATATGTACGCAGAGTATACTCAACTGCACTTACCTTTCCTTACATTATAACCTTGCTTTAACACAAGGTTTAATTGTAAAATTAGATACTCTAACACAAGGATAAATAGTAAGGTTAGATACTTAAACTCAAGGTTTAATAGTAAGGTTAGATACTTTAACACAAGGTTTAATAGTAAGGTTAGCTACTTTAACACAAGGTTTAATAGTAAGGTTAGATACTTTAACACAAGGTTTAATANAGTACAATGTAGCGTATTCATTGTATCAAAACCTTTAAATCTTACCATACAACCATGCTTCAACAAACCCTCCTCCATCCCCAAAAATAGAAATGAAAAAAAATTATAAAGCGTACCTGACACCATTGACCGGGATGTAAGTTGGATCACAGCAGTTTTTACAGGGGCATCTTCTAGACCCTTCCACCCCTCGAGTATACCCCTTAACTTCAGTTTTAGAAGAACCTGGAGAATAACAAAGTAAAATGAATAAGTAGGAACTAAAAATCTTTTTTAAAACAAACTAAAATTAAACCTTTATGACTTACATTAATGAAATAACAAAATTTAAATATGTAATGTAAAACATTTCTTACCATCGCTGTCGTTTAAAAATTCGTCCAATTCGTCGATATTTTCGTCGGAACTTCCGCTATCCTTTCCATTTCCGATGTTTCTATGAGCACTGAGTTTAGGTTCTGACTCCACCCTATCCACCAAACTAAATAATCAAAGATCGAAGCTATTGCGAGGAGAATCATAATTGCTTGATCTCGATATCCAATGTGGACAATTTTGAATTAGAGGATCAATGCTAGATACATTCATTTTAGTATCCTTGCAGGGGCAGGATATGGACACATCACGGGATATTGAAAAGGAATAATTTACAGAGATCAATGCTTGATCTCCGGCTTCCACAACACAAAAGTTCTGATTTCAAAACAAATTATTTCAAGAGGGAACCCTTACAATCTGAAACTTGTTCTGTTGTAATATATGTTGCATCTTGTACTGTCGTTTTCCCATACTTTTATATAAAAACATATCAACGCAATCTGGAGATGCTTCGCGCTTATCTAACAAGTTCGGTCTAGCAAGTTGTGACTTTCTCTCACAATTTGACATATTGACTTTTTTTTCGCCTTTTCTCTTTATTACTTTTTTGCCAGCATATGCCTTTTAAATGAGAAGTTAAAAAGATAATTTCGTAAGTTTAAAGATTGATGAACTTTAGACCAGAACGCGATTGAATTAAAATAAAAGAAACCGACCCCCTCCCTAGTCGGTCCATGGTGGTTTGATTGAACATAAGTTATTGTTTAAAATCTGAGAGGTCTTTGATACAGCAAGCATGAATGTAGTGTATCAACCGATAACAAAAGTATTTATAGGAATTTTAATTTGTACCTGTCATCTATCGAATCTATAAACTCGTCTTTCAGTTCCCTTTCCTAAAATATATTCAGAAATTAATCAGCGTAATATATTCAGAGATTAATTAGCGTACAATATATTCAGAAATTAATCAGCGTACAGTATATTCAGAGAATAATCAGCGTACAATATATTCAGAGATTAACCAGCTATAATATATTCGGAGATTAATCAGCTATAATATATTCTGAGATTAATCAGCTACAATTTATTGAGAGATTAATCAGCTATGATTCATATTCAAAGATTAATTACAGCCTACAATATATTCACTGTCAGATACAAATTCAAACGTACACAATATTAAAGATTAATCAGCTAAAAAACATTCAAAGATAAATCAGCAACAACGTATTTAGTGAATAATCAGCCTTCACTGTATTCACTATTTAGATATTTGTCAGCTAAAAATTTATATTTAGATATTAATCAGCCTTCGCACACTTTATTTAGAGACTAATTGGCCTAAAAATCTAAAAATAAAAAACATCTTTAAATCTTACCTTTTGTCCCTGTTTGAGTCCGGGGCTGAGAGATTCTTCCAAGTTTTCAGTGTCAATTTCTTCCTCAGCATCTTCTTTAATATCACCATCACCAACCTCGTCCTTTATTCTGCTTTCATTCTCTTCTTTCTCTTCATCTCCTTCTTCCTCTTCCTCCTCCGATCTATGTTCATCTTTGTGCTTTTCCAGAATACTATCATTCGAATTCTAAACAAAATAAATTCTAAATTATTATTTTTTATCGATAAAATAAATAAAATAATCAAGCAACTTTATACATTTGGATTAAGAGGGTTGGGTCATTCTAGCTAAAAAATAGCCAAATATTTATTCTGACAAATTTTAAGATTTTAACATTTAATCTTGATTAATGCATACATGGGAGATTAATGTCACCTGAGAGAAGCACTGGCCGCAGTTACTGCAAAGCGTGTAGAAAAAAGATTTAGCGTGTGATGAATTTTTTGTTTCACACGCCACGAAGTATTTTAGTCTGCACAGGTCCATATGGTTGTTCTGGATGTGATCCTAAATTTGGAAAAAATTCAAATATGTTTTCTAAAAATTTTGAGTTTATTGTGTTTATGAGATTAGAGGTTCTTTAAAACAGATAACCTTCAAATATTTTAATTTATATACAACTAGCTGGAGTACCCGGCGTTGCCCGTGGAAAAAAAACTTTTTAAAAATTTGAAAAAAAAATCATGAAACAAAATTTTTTTGAATTATTTGTTTAGCCTGAGACAACCCTGTCTACCCATGAGTGTCCACAAAAAATGTCAGCCTATAAGGTCCAGCCGTTAGGCCGGCTATTAGTGACATATATATACGAATATTTTGTTTTATTATATAGATTATATACCATTAAGTTCAAATATAAAGAGATATCGTAAGAATTTATAAAATGTCGTATTCTTAACTTTCTGACAAAGAAATACTGCAGATATTTAGTTTTTTAATTAGATGATTATACATGGAGGTCTTTAAACTATTCCTGCATATTCATAGGTTTTTATTTATTTTTTGCAATTACTTAGATTTAGGTATAGAAATAAAACCAGGGAGTAAGGAATAGAAGGGAGATACAACTGACACGGTTCCCCCTACCATATGATTATACATGCTTTGCAGACGGGTACTCCATTTGTATAAGAAATATTCAGAAAAGGTTATTGTATACACGGTAATTGTACATCAGACAAATATTTCTTAGTACCGTCTGCAAAGCATGTATAATCATATGGTAGGGCGGGCCGCGTCAGTTGTTCTCCCTTCTATTCCTTACTCCCTGAATAAAACCCATTGACAAATTGTCAAGATGGCATTTCATAAATTCTTTCGATGTCTCAAAATCATGTGGGGTAAACTGTATCAGCCCTATTAAGAAAATATTTTCTATAGCTTTCAAAAAGTTATTTATTAATATTTCTTTGACAATGCAAGCAATACTTTTCTTTATGCACAGTGGATGATGTCAGGTATCAGATACGTTTTTTTAAACCCCATCCCGTTTTACTGATAGAGATTTTCTACACCTGTAGATTTCCCCCCCGTTGAAAGATACTTGCCTTGAGCTGAGCGATCGATTTAAGCTTGGCAGATATTTTTGCATTAGAACACGATAAACATTTTAAGCCTCCTCCCTCTTCATCCTCTGAAATATCATCTTGTCTTTAATAATGTGTCAACATCATACCAACAAATTTATGATAACAATATATTTCTAATTCTTTAGAAGAAACTTCAGATGGAAATAAAAATCTATTTTCTTTCCAAGGAAGAGTTTTAATAAAACATGAATTAGTTTACCTAATTTTAGAATTTTTTCTGATTTAGTTTCAACATTCGGAGAATTCTCTGAGTTGAAATCGGTTTCCTGTGAGTTGGAAGCGATCTCAGCGATCGTATCTGATTCTTGTCGGTTTCGTAATCGCAGGCTTCTAAATTCTTCAACTCCAATCCGTGCCTCTTTTTCCCATCTTGTCTTCTCACTACATAACAAAATTATTCAAGTTGGTTTATTCTTCAGATAAAAAGATATATCTTTCCTCAAACCATTTTAAATCGGACTTAATTAGAGGCGTCCTAACTTCGCATTGCAATCTCGAATTGACTTTACAAATCAAGTCTGGAGTAAGCTTTACCGTTTGTAATGGAAAGTTTCCAGCGAACGAAAAGTTACGCGAAAAAATGAGAAATTTTGCGAAAATTGTCTTCCGAAGTTTGCATTTATTAGCGGAAATGAATTTTGCCAAAGGAAGTAAAAACTTTGCGTCATTATGTGAGAAAAAAAATATGCAACAATTTAGCGAAAATTTTCGCGAAATTTCGCATTAAATTTCCTAATTTCACTTGAAACCCTACTAATAGGCGGACTTCATATTTTCTTAATATATTTTCCCAATCTTGCTCTGCTGATAAATCATATTTAAGGCTAAATAGGAGGCAAAGATAATTAATGTTGTTGATTTCTGATTTCCTAAAAATATAATAATGACGCCTAAGATCCAAATTTGTGTGTGGATATTGTTAATCTTGAAAGCTTGATCTCATCTCAATATCCAATAAGGACACTTTTAAATTTGAAGATGAAATACTGGATCCCTCACTTGAAGTTTGACCATCACGGCACGGGATATGAAAATGAGAAATTAGTAAATCTGTTTTCTAACCTTGGATTATGATCGATCAGCTTGTGGCTCTTGAGAGCACTGTTTGAAGGAAAGATTTGTTCACACTCATCACAAAAATGCTTTCGTTGAGGATCCGGTGTATAATCACTCCCAGATAGAAACTCTTTTAAATCCGCTAAAATAAATATACAATTTTTATAATATTCCGACAAGATAGAAAATCAAAATTTTTAACACAATTTTTTCTTCCTAACCTCTGTTGTTCACTATTTTCCCCCTTCCAGGAATTTGGGTTTCGCCAGGTCTAAATTAAATCACATTATTTATTTTGTTGATTAAATTTTATAGTTACTGTCGGTAAACTTAGCATTTTGACGACTTTTAGTTAGTAGTCACATACGCAAATAATGGTCCATCAAAGTTTGGAATATGACTTTTTTTGAATCTATGAATTACGACATAGAAACAGTTTTTGGTAAAAATTTATTGCACATTTTGTAAACATTTCTTTTCATATTGAAACAGCATTTCTATTTTCCGTTCATGCCACGTCAAACTAAAGTAAAATGCGAATATTAAAATCTGATGTTTTCAATCTCAACTTTTCTTATTTAACAGATATTAAAAGAACAAAAATATTTTGTATTAGTTTTATGTAACCGGATAAATTAGCTTTATGTAACCGGATAAATTAGTTTTATGTAACCAGATAAATTAGCTTTATGTAACCGAATAAATTAGTTTTGTATAACCAGATAAATTAGTTTTTCGTAACCGGATAAATTAGCTTTATTTAACCGGATAAATTAGTTTTATGTAACCGGATAAATTAGCTTTATGTAACCGAATATATTAGTTTTATGTAACTGGATAAATTAGCTTTATGTAACCAGATAAATTAGTTTTTCTTAACCGGATAAATTAGCTTTGTGTAACCGGATAAATTGGTTTTTCTTATGCTTGAAGGATAACACATGAAGTGATACTTTGACTGTAATTGTTGATTTTTTATAATAATAATAATATTGTATTATTAGTGATGTTCCATTTTTCATATTTTAATAACATTTATAAATACACGAAAATAATGTTTGAAACTTACAAACCCCTGATTTATCTCGTTCAAAGAATTGTAAACAGTGCTTAGGATCCATTTAATTTTGATGCCTGAATCCGCAAGGGGAATAAAGGATCCGGATTTGCTGAATTTATTTTAGCAAAGCAGAATTGTCAAATTATTTCTCTTCTTTTTTTCGCTTATTTTTATGCTGAAACATGATGAACCATTTAAAGATCAGAAAATATTTATAATCTCTCTTTTTTCAACAGTTCAGATTTGGTTTTTGAGAATGAAATTTTTTTGTTGTTGAAATTTTTGGTTGATATTTTCCCCCCTTGGATCCTGTTCCGGATCCGGATCCTAAGCACTGATTGTAAATCAAATTACTTTGGATTGATGTTGACATTCTCTACGTTGTCGAGAATATCCTCGGTCAGGGATTTTGAGATCATTGCGTCAAGGAACTCCGCCATCCACACGTCAAGGGCCTGGTGTTTCCCTGAACAAAACAAAAACGAATAAATAAAGCCAGCGCTCTTTTCCCTGATGGTTGTCAAAAAAAAGTAAGATTCATGTAAGATTGAAATCTTTTTTTCTTTCTCATTCTCGACTAGATTATAGTCAACAAGACGAAAGAACTTTTGATTGGATATTGTTGATACTGAGCTGAAAACTTTAGAATGGGATATCCTTAATCCCGATCGGTTAATTAATCTGGAGATTAATAACATGAGGAGAACAAGCCTTATTTAATCTGGAGATTAAGAAAAAGAGTGGATCAAGCATTAATCTGATATCCACTATTCAAAAGTTCCCAGCTCTGGACACTTATCTCAATATCAGATGGGGGTACTTTTAAATTTTAGGATTAATGCTTCCTTGATCATTAAGTTATCCACGCAGGATATCAACACCACGGGATATCGAAGAGAATTAAATTAATCCATGGATCTGCAAAGATGAAGTCCAATACTCGATCCCGAAATTACCGAAAAAATAATCTGACTTCTGATGTAAAAACAATGAATAAAACGTCTTAATACCTGTATAGTGCCGAACAACACACTGCCGATCTTTACCCGAATAAGGGCACAGTGGGCACATAAATGGTTTCTTTCCGGTCATTGGCAGGATACGCTCTATCCGCTAGACAATTTTCAATAATCATATTCATATCAATTTAATGTTCAACTTTTTATATTTCTAGGCTATTCTCAGCTGTATAAATTAAACTTCTTGGTAAATAATTTCGCAAAATTTAAAAACATTTTAAGATTAAAATCAATTACCTTGGAGAAATGCCATTTCATCAAATGATCCTGTTTCTCCCTGAAGATTAAAAATCAATCTAGACTCAAATTGAGAATTTATTTAACCATTTATCTCTAAAATGATTTTTAATGTAAATTATAGAACAAAAAATTCTCTATTTAATTGATTTATTTCCTGTATTTATTTTTCGTTTTAGCAGAAAACCCACATAGCTCACATTGATGAACTCTGTTCAGTGAGAAAGTCAAAAAGAATTTTTAGTTTTAAAATTTCTACCTATCTATCTACCTGAAACTCCATTTTTAAAATAGGTTTTTTTTTCAGCAGCTTATACAGAAACATGGATTTGACAGAATAAAATAATTTTCGAAAAATCTGTTTTTTTTTCACTTATCCCTGACTGGAAGTTTCGACCAGATCCTGGTGCCAGACTTGAAGAAGTTCTTGGGTAGGCTTACTGGAGGACAGAGCGCTCTATCTCGTTCAGATAGATCAGGAGGGTACTGATCTGTTCCAACCTACAGATAAACAGTAAGAAGGATAGATCAGGGGGTACTGATCTGTTCCAACCTACAGATAAACAGTAAGAATGATGGATCAGGGGGGTACTGATCTGCTCCAACCTACAGATAAACAGTAAGAATGATAGATCAGGAGGGTACTGATCTGTTCCAACCTACAGATAAACAGTGGGAAGGATATATCAGGGGGTACTGATCTGTTCCAACCTACAGATAAACAGTAAGAAGAATATATCAGGGGGTTCTGATCTGCTCCAACCTACAGATAAACAGTAAGAAGGATATATCAGGGGGTACTGATCTGCTCCAACCTACAGATAAACAGTAAGAACGATAGATCAGGAGGGTACTGATCTGCTCCAACCTACAGATAAACAGTAAGAAGGATATATCAGGGGGCACTGATCTGCTCCAACATACAGATAAACAGTAAGAACGATAGATCAGGAGGGTACTGATCTGCTCCAACCTACAGATAAACAGTAAGAACGATAGATCAGGAGGGTACTGATCTGCTCCAACCTACAGATAAACAGTAAGGGATAGATCAGGGGGTACTGATCAGCTCCAACATACAGATAAACAGTAAGGGATAGATCAGGGGGTACTGATCAGCTCCAACCTACAGATAAACAGTTAGAAGGATAGATCAGGGGGTACTGATCTGCTCCAACCTACATATAAACAGTAAGAAGGATAGATCAGGGGGTACTGATCTGCTTCAAGTACAGATAAACAGTAAGAATGATAGATCAGGGGGGTACTGATCTGGCCCAACCTACGGCTAAACAGTAAGAAGGATATATCAGGGGATAGTTTTGGAGGGTATTGATCTGTTATAACCTTCAGATTTACGGTAAGAACTGTTATGAATGGATATCTGTTGAATGCTGAAAAGAACAAAATAAGAAAGCATAAGATGGCAGACTACAAAGAACGACTTACAACTAGAGGAACAGAGAATAGATAAAAACTTAATATACTGTGAAAACCAGAAGAAGCAAATAGAACTCAAAGAAAAGCAAATAGAACTCAAAGAAAAACGGAAGAATACAATAGAATGAAAAACTAAAAAATAAACAGTGGTAACTTCAAAAATCTTAAACCTTTTTTTTGGAAAAAAAACTAATGAACCTGTCCGTTAAACGGTTTCTTCTTTTTCTTCTTCACTTGCGGAGTAAATTTGAGTTCTGGGATCATTATGTTATGGTAGTCGTCTTCTTTCAGGGGGAAATCGTCCGACAGAGCAAACTCGTCCTTGACGGAAAAGTCGTTTTTCTCAATTACTTCATCCTTCAGCTTCAGGAAAAATTCATCTTTAATCTGATTCCAAAATTTACTGAAAATCTTTTAAATTAAGAAGAGTTAATTTGAAGAAAAGGAATCCCCCCCCCCCCCCACTGGTTCAGGGGTGATGATCTAGAGATTTTGTGCCAGGTGTAAGACCCAACTTTGTGGCATATTTCTATAAAAACTAGCCTTAGAGGGCGCTTCGCGCTCATCTTCTAAATTAATTGTGAACATGTTCTCTTTGTGTACATCGTAAAACAAAACAAAAATAATTCGCAGATTTTCACAAAAAATTTCGTGGATTTTCAAAATTTTCAAAAATTTAATGAAGATCAAATTTTGATGGAGACAACTATTTGAAATTTTGATCATTCATAAACCTTCCCTGGGGTCCCTAGATGTCCAACAAAAAAATTGGGCCCGATCGGTTCAGCCGTTTTGACGTTTATTGGATACAAACAGACAGACAAACAAACAAACACCAAAACACCCAGACAAGCCAAATTTATAAATAGATGATATGATAATCGATATTTTGGGGATTACGAGAGCTATTAGTGGCAGATTTAAGTGCCATTTTTGGGTGTAATAGTTGTTAACTGTACAATGTACATTGTACAATATTCTCACAGATTAATCCTAAATAAAACCCTGCGATAATTTCTAAAGATTTAGATATTTTTATTCAAGTGAGACAGTGGAATTGTTTCCTTCGTATTCTGCAATAACTGTTGCAAATTAATTGATGTACCAGGCGGAAACCTGTCTGTGTTTATGGACGGGATGGTACAGGAGACCCGTTTGACTTTGTAAAAAGAAGGGAGGTTGAAGTTCAATTTTTAGCAAGAAACTTTTTTTTACTGCTTTGATGAATTAGATAACAATTTTGGTGATTTCCTTGATAGAAGCAGGTTTCTTCTCAACTATTTCCGCTTTTAATTCTGTTTCCTGATCAGACATTTCCTGTTTTCTTTTTCTACCTCTTTTTGCAGACTTGACCTCTACTTCAGGAGCGAAGGGTTTGACCTCTGAGGCTAAAAACCTGAAAAAAGTAAATATTTGTTCTTCTCCATCAATTAAAATTGACAGCGGAAATGTCTTATCCAGTGAGTAACTGACAAAAGTACATTCATAGTAAATGCTTTGTTTGCTTTAATTTCAATACATTACAGAGAGAGATCCTGCAGTTTGTGATGTCGTTAATACCTCGATCTATCCATGTAAAAAACAAATCAAATCACCGTGACAAAGAAATTGTTTTGTTAGGACGACCTCTAAGTTTACCTGGACTATTTTGTTAGGAAGACCTCTAGGTTTACCTGGAATATGTTGTTAGGACGACCTCTAGGTATACCTGGAATATATTGTTATGACGACCACTAAGTTTACCTGGAATATGTTGTTAGGACGACCACTATGTTTACCTGGAATAAGTTATTAGTACGACCTATTTAAGTTTACTTGGAATATTTTGTTAGGAAGACCACTAAGTTTACCTGGAATATGTTGTTAGGACGACCACTATGTTTACCTAGAATATGTCGTTATGACATTCTCTAGGTTTACCTGGAATATGTTATTAGTACGACCTATTTAAGTTTACCTGGAATATTTTGTTAGGACGACCTCTAGGTTTACCTAGAATATGTTGTTAGGAAGACCACTAAGTTTACCTAGAATATGTTGTTAGGACGATCTCTAAGTTTAGCTGGAATATGTTGTTAGGACGACCTTGAGTCTGTTGTTTGGACAACCTCTAAGTTTACCTAGAATATGTTGTTAGGACGATCTCTAGGTTTACCTGGAATATGTTGTTAGGACGACTCTAAGTTTACCTGGAATATGTTGTTAGGGCGACCTCAAGGTTTACCTGGAAAATGTTATTAGGACAACTTCTAGATTTGGACGACCTATAGGTTTACCTGGAATATGTTGTTAAGACGACTTCTAGGTTTACCTTGCGTCTGTTGCTAAGACGACCTCTATGGTGACTTGGGTACTACCATCACCAGCACACCTGTACAAATATATTTGAATTATCATTATGACAGTATTGAAGATACATTTGTAAGAAAAAATGATGTGCTTAAAAACATAAAATTTAAATTTTGCGTTTAAAGATTCAGTTTAAGAAAAGTTTCTAAAATTCAAAGCACCGTGCATAGTAAAAATTTACCTACTCCGAAAATGTACCTTATTGTTTGTAATAGAAGAACACTCATAAACCCTGAATGTGAATCCATCATGTGTGCATTTAAATCTTTAAATTTGTCTCCGCATTCACCACACTTCACTTCAGACTAAACAAATAGAAATTAACTAACAATAACAATTGAATAACCATAACAATCCATGACAATGCCAATTCAATAACAATACATTAAAGAAACAATTCGATAACAGTTATAATTTTAATTCAATAACAATCACAATTATAGATAACAATAATAAATAGAAATCAATAGTAAATAGATAACAATAATAAAAAGATAAATGGATAACAATACCATTTCAATAACAATAAAAACAATTCAACAACGATACTAAATAAATAACAATATAAAATAAAAATATCAATTCAGTAAAACAATTTACTGAAAATTCGATAACGACAACAATTTTAAAGCAATTTAATTACAATCTCCGGATTTTAAAGATTAATTAAGAAGTGGTTTTCAGTATGAACCTCCAAATCCAGAACTAGATACCTGATGTGTTTGAATATGAACATCCATATCCGGAACTAAATACCTGATGTGTTTGAATATGAACTTCCATATCCGGAACTAAATACCTGATGTGTTTGAATATGAACCTACAGAACCGGAAATAAATACCTGATGTGTTTGAATATGAACTTCCATATCCGGAACTAGATACCTGATGTGTTTGAATATGAACTTCCATATCCGGAACTAAATACCTGATGTGTTTGAATATGAACTTCTATATCCGGAACTAAATACCTGATGTGTTCGAATATGAACTTCCATATCCGGAACTAAATACCTGATGTGTTTGAATATGAACTTCCATATCCGGAACAAGAATTTGACATTGTGAACAAACCAATTTCACACTTGTCCCAAGTGTCAATCTGAAATTTAAGACTATTACAAACTAATGCAAATTTTGTAAGGATTTCTTAACATAATGTTCAAACCAAAATTTTTAAAAAAAAAATTATCTAAATTTATTTTCAAATAAAGAAAAAATCCAACAACCTGTGTTCATCTCTTTCCGCCTGAGTATTGTAACCATTACCACAATCTGGACATTCAAACTCCCCATCCAGTATTATGTTAGAATCTTCACAATCTGTTACCTATACATAAGAGTAATAGGTTAAAATCCTAACAATCTGTTACCTGTACATAAAGTAATTATCAAGATAATTCTTAAACTTTTCATAACTTAAAAACAAAATGTCAGAAACCACATCATTTTTTACTTGTGTAAATCACAAAAGTATTATTTTCAAGAAATGAAAATTTCATCATTAAAAACTTGTAATTTTGCAAACAATTTTTGTTTGTTTGGTATGATAAAAGCAGAGAAATGCTCAAATATATGTAAGATTTAAAAGGATAGATAAAAAGGTAGATTGAGGAGAGTAAAGCGCACTGGGAGCCTAGCTTTATCTAGTTGATTGAGACCTGAGTATTAAAAGTATGATGTTTGTCCTCTAGTTCAACCATATCCCTCACATGATCCTCCCAGGTGTAATGATCAGGATACTGAACTCCACACCCTTAATATACATAGATCATAGGATTATAAACATGATCCTCCCAGGTGTAATGATCAGGATACTGAACTCCACACCCTTAATATACATAGATCATAGGATTATAAACATGATCCTCCCAGCCGTATTTTCAGAATACCTTACCAAAAGTGATCATGTAATTTAGTGTAAGCCAATAAAGTTTAAACGCATATAAAAAGAAAATGTTAACAGATTGTTTTTCTAAGTGATAAGTTACCTGTGCAAATAATATTAACGAGTATATCTATAACATCAGGACTAAATAAATCCTCTCTGTTTCCTGATCTTAACTCTACAGTTCCATGGATCGTGTTCCGGTCAGAGTCATCCATCCTAGGTAGTTGATAGGTCAACTTACAAAATTAAATAGTGTCTTCTGCTGTTCATCTATAAAAAAAGACATAAAGGTAGATTCAGCCGGGGTCATTACTCATCGAGTCATTATAAAGAAAATTGGAGACTCTATAACAGTCATGTAGTTTTGTAAGTTTGTATAGTTCTCCTTATAGAATTAAAAGCGAAATGAACCAAAAGAATAGCATTTACAAAAAGACGTCGATGGGCTCAATCAAATGACTTAATCACATTTAAAAAAAGTATTTTTAGTAAAGTATATGTAGATATATTCTAACGACTTAGGTAGGGGAGGTGAATATAAATTAATTTTCATGATTCTGATAAAATATATTACAAATACAGGGTGTCTCTAAAAACAGCGGTTAATGCCAGAGCCTAAAATTTAAATCGATCTTTTGGACATAGTTATCAATGAAAACTGTCCGATCTAATGGGACAAACAAAATCTTGTATCTTGTATAAAAAATCATTCTCAACTAGAATTTTAGAGACACCCTGTACGATCTGACACTAGGTTTAACTATAGTATAGGAAGGACCCAAATATAATCTGTATTCTATCTGTACATGTGTATAGTGTGTAAGTGATTGTATTATGTATATCCAGTTGCTTATACGATACATCCATATCCGGAACTAGATACCTGATGTGTTTGAATATGAACTTCCATATCCGGAACTAAATACCTGATGTGTTTGAATATGAACTTCCATATCCGGAACTAGATACCTGATGTGTTTGAATATGAACATCCATATCCGGAAGAATACAATAGAATGAAAAACTAAAAAATAAACAGTGGTAACTTCAAAAATCTTAAACCTTTTTTTGGAAAAAAAACTAATGAACCTGTCCGTTAAACGGTTTCTTCTTTTTCTTCTTCACTTGCGGAGTAAATTTGACTTCTGGGATCATTATGTTATGGCAGTCGTCTTCTTTCAGGGGGAAATCGTCCGACAGAGCAAACTCGTCCTTGACGGAAAAGTCGTTTTTCTCAATTACTTCATCCTTCAGCTTCAGGAAAAATTCATCTTTAATCTGATTCCAAAATTTACTGAAAATCTTTTAAAT